CTCCATGTGGGTTCCCTAGCAAGGGGAACAGGGACTGTCCCTGACATGAACTCAGTGTCTATCTTTGACTGCTTCCCCCTGATGGGGAGCAGCATTGCCAGGCCACAGAGGAGGACAATGCAGCCAGTTCTGATGAGACCTGGGTAAGGTAGGGTCACATGGAAGGGGAGGAGGACCTCCCCTATCAGTGGGCTTGGAGAGGGGCATAGGAGGAGATGAGGGAGGGAGGGAGGGTAGCAGTGGGAGGGGAAGAGAGAGAGGACTACAGCAGGGATACAAAGTGAATAAATTGTAATTAGTATAAAAAAATAAAAATTTAATTAAAAAACCACAGCATAGTGTGTGTAATACAAACATGGAGAAGATCAAGGCACTGTCTGAGCCAACAGCATCTGACTAGGTAGGTGTCATGCAAGTCCTCATCACTTCCCCAAAGTGCCTTGTCTCTCCTAAAGGCTCATTCTTAGGGTAGTATATTCATGGTCCACTTTCGTTTGATGACCCATGTCATGTTTCTTCCTTGAGAACATCAGTGTCTCATCCAGACATTTATTTTTAGTCATTGTTGAGCTCTGTGGTACTACATAGAATTCTAAGATGGCTTCCTAAGATCTTCGTTCATAATCCTGGAAACTGTGGACATGATGAGATATTACCTCTGTGTTGACCTCAGATTGTGTGACAGAGCTGGCCTTAAGAGAGCAGTCATCAGGGTAAGCCTGGTCTAACCAAATAAGCCCTTTCCAAGCAGATAAGCTTTGCCAGCTGGCAGCACAAGAGGAAAACAGAGACTAGAAGCTTGAAGAAGGTTCCCTACCCTCCTGTTTCCTTCAAGATGGAGAGTGACTCCTGTCAGAGAAAATGAGTAGCTCTGGGGAGCTGAGCGATCCCTGGCAAGAAACAGAAACAAAGCTGTGACCTCAGTACTACAACCACAAGGAGCTGGATTTTACAAAAACTTGGATGAAATGGGGTACAAGAATTCCCCCAGAGCCTTCAGAGAAGAGCTCAGCCTTGCTGACATGGTGATTTCAGTCTGGAAAGCCAGAGAGAAGAGCTAAACTGAGCATGCCCAGAAATCTCACCTGTGGTGCTCTGATAATACATGGATGTCTAGTTAAACGTGTTTGCAGCATAATTTGTTAAATCATAAATAAGACTTGCACATCTTCTCTGTTCTAATACAGACATCACTTCCTTCTAGCTGTTCTCAATCTGGCAGGAAACTTTTAAGAGTGAATTCTAATTTTGTGAAAAGGTTGAGCAATAATGTGTTTTATTTTTCTCAATCATAGTCTATTGGACAAAGAAAGTATATTATCCAAAATTACTCAAGTCCAATGATTACAAGGCAAAGAGGATTTCTACACTTCACTGGTCCTTCAAGAAAGTGGGGACCAATCCTTTCTACATGGTTTCTTTCAATAGTTGATTTCATTGAATCTTTGGAGCCATTCTCCAGGAGTACAGAAATTGAGAAGACCTTACTAATTAAAAAAAAAAAACAAAAACAAAAACTCTTTTTTTTGTCTTGTTTGATTTTGGGGTTCTTAATTAATTAATTATTTACTTTACATCTCTTTTGCAACCTCCCCTCCCTTCCCTTCTTCCAGTCCCTCTTTCTCTCCATTCCCCTCCCCCATATCCAACTCTCCTCCCCTTTTACTTGCACAGGATTATCACACATTATCATAACACCTGAATTCTGTTTGGACATTAAAAGTATCGGCCATGCTCTAGGGGTATAAGTTCAAGACATGAAAGACATCAAGGGCCTGCTGCTCAAGCTCACAACTTGTCCAGGTGCCTCAAAGTGATGGAAGATGACCCCTTAGCCAGGCTTTGTGCTGGGACCACTTTTAATGATGATACTGTGTAGTCAACAGCTCTATTGTGAGTTGGAAACACTGGACAATTTTCTAACATCTGAGTGAAATATTCAGCATCCTAACTTTTCTCCCAACACTGAGAAGAAGTGGGCACAAGTCCCACCCCAACTGAGAATCTATGAGCAACTGATACCTGCTGGAAGAGGGAACATCGTTTTTCTCCAGCAGAGTGCCACTGGGTATGCCAACCACATCCAGGGCAGCCTCATGCCCAGGAGTAGGTGACCAACACAAACTTCATGGTTTCGTGTGTGTGTGCCTTTTTCTTTCTTACTTTCTTGTCTTTTCTTTTTCTTTTTTGTCTGTTTGTTTTTTTTGGTTTTTTGAAAGAAAGTGAAACAGGAGAGAGAAAGATAGAGATAGAGAGAGAACTTAAGTTCTCTGAGTAGGTCTGTGGAGAGGATATGGGATGATTTGAGGAATCAGAAAGAATGTTATCAAAAGGTATTGTATAAAAATATTTCCAAGTGGATCAAAGACCTCAACATAAAACCAGACACATCAAATCGGTTAGAAAAAAAAAGTGGGGAATACCCTTGAACTCATTGGCACAGGAGACAACTTCCTGAACAGAACACCAAGAGCAACAATCAATAAATGGGACCTCATGAAACTGAAAAGCTTCTGTAAAGCAAAGGACACCGTCATCAAAACAAAATGACTGCCTACAGATTGGGAAAGAATCTTCACCAATCCTTTATCTGACAGAGGACTCATATCCAGTATATATAAAGAACTAATGAAGCTGAAAAACAGCAAACCAAGTAATCCAATTAAAAAAAATGGAGTTAAGAGCTAAACAGAGAATTCTCTGTAGAGAAATATGGAATGGCAGAGAAACACTTAAAGAAATGCTCAACCTCATTAGCCATTAGGGAAATGTAAATCAAAACGACCCTGAGATTTCACCTCACACCCATCAGAATGGCCAAGATGAAAAACTCAAGTGACAACACATGCTGGAGAGGCTGTGGAGAAAGGGGAACCCTCCTCCATTGCTGGTGGGAATGTAACCTTGTACAACCACTCTGGAAATCAATCTGGTGCTTTCTCAGACAACTAGGAATAGCGCTCCCTCAAGATCCAGCCATACCACTCCTAGGCATATATCCAAAAGGGGCTCAAGTACACAATAAAGACATTTGCTCAACCATGTTTGTAGCATCTTTATTTGTAATAGCCAGAAGCTGGAAACAGCCCAGATGCCCCTCAACTGAAGAATGGATGCAGAAATTGTGGTACATCTACACAATGGAGTATTACTCTGCAATGAAAAATAAAGAAATAATGAAATTTGCAGGTAAATGGTGGGAGCTGGAAAGGATCATCCTGAGTGAGCTGTCCCAGAAGCAGAAAGACACAAAAGGTATATACTCACTCATATAGACATATAACATAGGATAAACCTACTAAAATCTGTACATCTAAAGAAACTAATCAAGAGAGAGGACCCTGACTAAAACAGGGAACTTCCCAGAGACTCATACTCCAACCAAGGACTATTCATGGAGATAACCTAGAACCCCTGCACAGATGTAGCCCATGGCAGTTTAGTGTCCAAGTGGGTTACATAGTAATGGGAAGACATAGTATGCCTGTCTTTGACATAATCTGATTGGCCTGCTCTTTGATCACCTCCCCCTGAGTGGGGAGCAGCCTTACCAGGCCACAGTAGATGACAATGCAGCCAATCCTGATGTGATCTGATAGACTAAGATTAGAAGGCAGGAGAAGAGGACCTCCCCTATCAGTGGACTTGGGGAGGGGCATCGGTGAAGAAGGAGGAGGGAGGGTGAGATCGGGAGGGAAGGAGTGAGGGGCTTATGGGGGGATACAAAGTGAATAAAGTGTAATTAATAAAAAAAATATTTAAGCCAGGCATGGTGGCACACGCCTGTAATCCCATCACTCCAGGAGGCAGAGGCCAGCAGATCTCTGTGAGTTTGAGGACATCCTGGTCTACAATGCAAGTTCAGGACAGCCAAGGCTACACAGAGAAACCCTGTCTTGAAAAAACAAAAATGGAACAAAAATATTTTGAGCAAATTATAACACATAAGTACATATATGTGTTTACACACATACACACACATATATGTGGTCTCTTTTCTTTCTCTATCCTTAGACACAATTCTCTCAAACATTTGATCTGTAACTTAATGAAGTAGACTTAGGATTTTGGGTTCACTATCCTCTTATAGAAAACGTGTTTTTTATACTGACATTACCTAATTGTCTCTTACAGGCTTTGAATGATGGAATTTCTGAAGGAGAAACTAATGGAAAGTTCCTGTACTGTAGCTACAGTGATGGCCCAACAGGGAAGAGCACAAACTCAGACCCTCAGAAGAGGATAGTTCCCTGCTTTGGATAAAGACCCTTAAAATTCCACTTTGGGTTCAGACCACAGGAACCTAACCACCAGCCTCTGAGAACCTACAACCCATGGGGAACCATCTGGAAATTTGACCTCTGATCTCCTTGTCTTTGTCAAGTTCTGAAATATACCAGAATCTTAATCACTTCTGTATATCCAGAGCCTTAAAACTGGAACAATTTCCCCTGACAAAGGCTTAGCAATAAAGGGATGACATATGTACCAAAGGATGGGGGGAAAGTATATGGCCCAAATAACAGGAAGTATATTGATCTTACAGCTTGGGGTTTCACTGATTTTCATCAGTCAGATGATACAAATCTTCCTCTTGGAGCACAAACTTTGACAAAAAAAAAAAAAAGATAAATCGGCATAGGAATACAAAGCCTACAAAGCCTTGGTTTCCATGGAGACTGAGAAGTTAGAAAAAAATATCCTATGGATTCAATATATTATGGCCTTAGCAGCTGTGAAACGACAACAGCAAAGATTGTTGTCCTGTCACCAGATTTTTTCTAAAGTGATATGTGAGAACCTAATATCAAAGGATACTCCTTCATGATGTTTCTCAAGACATTTTACCGCCCAGAAATTACCCTGAATGCCATGAGAAAAAAAACAGTAACCAGGGCATGACCATCTCTTCATCATGATGGGTGTACAGAGCAAACACAGCAGGAAACAGCAGCTCAGAATTCAGCCTCCAGCACACAGTGCCTGCTCCCATCACTCACCTGCTTCAAGTCTTGGTGGTGAGGACAAGTCATGCTGGGGCCCTTGCCCATCAGACATTTTCTCACAAGATGATCTACTTTTTTCTGTAGAAAAGAATGAAAGACTCAGTGGACTCAGAATGGCTGAGGACAACCCCAGCAGGAGAGCCACCTGAGACAACTAGGAAGGTCAAGGTGGCTTAGGGTCTCCTGGAGTGAACATCGTGGTTGTGGGACTCTGAGGTGGAGGCTGACATGGCTCCTTCTCTGTCACCAGAGGCAGAGGGCTGGCCACTCATCTGTTCCTCCCTGCACATTGCACTCCCCATCATTTCTGACCCTTGGTGCTGCCTCTAGGATCCTTCTCTCTGAGTATGTGAAGAGGAGAGCAGGATGGGGAATGTGTGGGGTCTTTCTCTCTTACAGATCCATTAGCTGACTGGCAAATGGAGTCTCACCCACCTCCTCTGCTGCATTGTGGCAATCTGGCCAACACCTCTGCTTGTTCATCATTGATCTGATACTTTCCAATGCTACAGGATGCTGAAGAGAAACAAAAATAGAATAAACCACACAGAGGGAATAAGAAATACCTCATATTGCTCAGGTATAAAGATGAACCTCAGAGAATATAAGAAATAGGAGTACAAGGAGTCAAAATGACAACATTGTGTGTCTAATACAAACATGGAGAAGAGCAAGACACTTTCTCTGTCATTATACTTCATTCTGAATAAAGAATGCACATATTCTACCCATAAGGGTTAGGTTGTTCCAAACAGGAGTCACAAGTATTTCTTCATTTCCCAACAAAGGCAAAGGACAGAAGGAGAACCAGGGAATCAAAGTACTAAGAAAAGCTTACACACCCTTGTCTCATGAACAAGAGAGGCAGAGAGGAAGTTGGGAACTTCAGAGAGGAAAGGACTCAGTCCTTGTGACAAGAGAATTTGTTGAACCAAGGGAGAGAGGAAGCCATGCCTACTGCATTTTCCTGAGTGTGTCCTTGAGTTACAGAGAATGAGTCTGATGGAATAAGACTGACTGAGAAAAGGCATCTGCTATTACAAGCTGTTTCTGTAGTCTTAAGGTGAGACAAGAGATGTGATTTGGGGGTCAGGAAAGGTGGCTCAGTGGTTACAATTGTCCAGCCATTCAAATGCTGCATCCTAAAGATCTTGGAAAGCATCCAGATGTAAAACTCAGTGGAGAGCTACATGCAGATATTCAGGCCTGCAGATGAGGAAGCTGTCTGAAGTTTCATGTTTAGGGATCATTAACTTAGAGGTGGGCACAGATATGAAAGCCTGGGAGAGACAGAGGCATGTTTTCCAATGCCACTTTGAAGTCTGCGGACATCACAATGTGAAAACTCACAGCTAATGTTTTCACCTTGGGCCAGAAGTTGATTTGGCTAGAAAGTCAGTCCCTCCAATGTCTCAAACTTTTTCTCTTCTCTGAAGATCATTTTTTGCTCTCAATAGTATTAAACTTTTACTGATACCCCTTTCGTTGGTCTCATATCAGAAGGCATCTTAGAGGGATCAGCTCTCTCTGCCCATGTGAGTCCCAAGAATTTAACTCAGGTCATCCGGCTTGGTAGCAATGCCGTTTAACTGGCCTCCTGCTGGTTTTCCATTTATTCTCCTTTTTTTTTCTGTGTTTGGGCTGATGACTCTTGGACACAATTAGCACCCCCTCTTTATTTAATTTTCTTCATATTTTAAACTCTGTACCTTGTTTCATAATTGAGATTAACTCTTTTTTTTTCACTATTTTTTTTTTCATTTTCCCAGATCAATCTGTTCTTTAGTTAGCTTGCTGTTTCTGATTTTTCCCACAAAGTTGAATCTAAACATTTAGGTTTACATAAACTCAGGTCTGCTTACTCTCTGGTGCCTGCCTCTGATCTTCATTTTTATTATGTAGTACCCTTTTAGTTCTTCTGCTAAGAGACTCATTCCTCTTCTCTTCTTGTTTCCCAGTGTGTACAGCAACCACAAGCTGAACAAAAGTGTGTGTGTGTGTGTGTGTGTGTGTGTGTGTGTGTGTGTGTGTTTGTATGTGCATGCACACATACACGCAGGGAATGATCAGAAGAAAAGGCTAAAGACAGCAAAACAGTGTCAGTGAATTAATTAGTAATCTAAAAACATAATCACCTTCCCTAAAGGCTGCCAGCAGTCTGTGCCTCTCTTCAGCATCTCTTCCATTTATCCTCTGAAAAGTCCTGTGATTGTCAGATACTAAGGAGAAACATGACAATGACCAAATTGAACAGCGACAGGGCAGAAAGACACCCAAGTAATGCAGAAACAGGCTTCACAGGAAGTTCTGATGCAATGCACCTTCTGCAAGGGAGAGTCCTCTAGAGGGGGAGCTGGAAAGGTGAAGCTACAGGCCACCAGTGGGAACAACAGAGACTGTTCTCTACCTAGGACCTGCCAACTTCATGTTCACGCAACATGCCAGAGCCTTGGTTCTAAAGGCCCATCCTCATTTCACACTCTAGGCTGACACATGCTGCCCTCTCTGGTGCCTTGACCCAAACTGGCCTTCTCTTGTGATTTCTCTACTTTTCAAAAAAGGAAGTTGATGTAGGACTCTACTGAATGATAAATTTTCTGATAAAAGGAACGTATTTTAATCACTGGGCATGTCTGCAAGTAGCAGAGAGCTGGCTTCTTTCCAAGGAAAGCCATCCTTCATAGCATGTTTTATAGCATGAAAATCAGGTTCTGGGTGAGCAGTTATCTCAGTGTTAGTTGGTCTATGTGTAAGCTCCTGACTACACTGACCGTGTGTGTTTCCTACATACCCCCATGCTTGGCATGTCATAGTGTCTCAGTAAATTAGATGTCAACTATCAATGAGAAAAATGAATGGGTCAATGAATGAATGAATGAATGAAGTAGTCTTGCATTTCCTGAAGCAGGTGAGAGCTATAGTTACCATTTGGGAAGAAGTTTCGTAGAGTCTCCTCTAGTTCTGGGTAGGCCTTCAGGTGTGTTTTGCTGAATATCACTCTCAGAAGCTCCAGGCTGAACCGCTCTTGTACATCATGGAGGATGTCGTACACCACACTGTCCACTGAGATCAGGTTCTTACAACGTTTTTGACAATCCTTAAAAACAGGAAATGTGTCACAATGGATTTATGGGTTACAAGAGAGGCTTAGACAGGTTCAAACCCCATTTGTTTTCTTGTGAAGTGTCTGAGTTTTGCATACACAGAGGGGACTTTTTACATGTCCTCTCTGTACCAACAGAGCCCTGCTCATCTAAAAGCAGCTCTGATGCTGACACACAGTTGACACAAAAGAGTAGCTTCGAAGAATAATCAGATGATGGGTGTAAGAGTCAAGCAAAGATGCTCTACTGTGGCTCTAACAGGCCATGAGAGGCTGTCCTGAGGACCATACAGTAACTCCCCCCAAGGAATGACCTGGTATGAAAGATTCAAGGCAACTAAGCGGGCATCCTGGTCGCAGGACAAAGAAAAAAGGCATAAAGAAGAGAAAGTCTCTGTTATCCCAGAGGTCCCCATCACTGCCCTCAGCTACATTCTAGGGCCTCAGAAGTGCCTGAAGAGCAAGGAACAATTTGGAAAGAGAGAAGCAAGCAAGACTCCCAGTTTTGTCTTCACATGACCCAACTCCTTGTGACTCTCAGGCAATTAGTTCAAAACTCTCAGGCTCTGGGATCTGGAATAAGTAGGCCCTGCTTGGACTTGTCCATTTGCATTCTAGTTTCTGTTGATACACTGCAAAAGTGAACCTAGGATGCTCAGCACCTTAGAGCCTTTCCACTTCCTGTCCATCCACTTCCTGTCCATCCGCTGTCACCATGTAGCTCAACCTCAGTTACTGCAGAGGTAGGTGTGAAGGTCCTGTGATGCCTTCTCCTGTCACCTCTACCTTACAAGAAGTGAAGGTCCCTATTCCCTAGAGCCCTTCAGCCTATTGGCTGCATCCAAAGGTTCAGCATGATACAGCATGGGGCAAGCTTACTGTCAGAACTGAGTCCCTTCTCCTCACTCACCTGAAACATCTCCTCAGAAATGAAGCCATGGTCTCGGAGGCTCATAAAAAAAGGATATGGCTTTGTAATGGCGCTTGCAATTTCCACCTTATTTTCTTTGAAGTGTTTGTACATGAGCTGATAGCTAGCTGATTCCTCTTCATTCTGGTCCTCTGTGATTGTCCTAAGAGAGAGAGATTCCATGTGGAAGGAGAAACTGGTTTACAAAAGGCTACCAATGGCAGGATAATTGCTGACATGAAAAATGGTCCACTAAAAAGACAAATTTAAAGTGAAACTGAAGCTTCAAACATCTAAAAGAGTGATGCCAGTTGTGAGGCTTTGGGTTTTGTTTGCTTGAGAGAGGGTATCACCTGTAAGTCTGGCTTGCCTGGAACCTGTTGTGTAGACCAGGCTATCCTCAATCAGAGAGTTAACCTGCCTCTGCCTCTTGAGTGCTGGGATTCAAATCATGCCCCACAATGGCCAACATGATGATTCGTTTTAATTGTCAACCTGACACAATCTATAACAACCCAGGATCGTGTGAGTCTTAATAAAGAATCGTGCAGATTAGGATGGTCTCTGGGAATGTCTGCCTGGGGTTGTCCTCATTATTCTAATTGATGTGGAAAGATCCAGCCCACTGTGGACAGCACCAGTTCCTACATAGGGGAACCTGGGCAGCATTAAGTGTAGGGAAGAAGTTAGGCACTGGCAGGCACACTTGCATTCATTTCTCTCTTCTCTGGACTGTGGATGTTACCAGTGGCTTCAAGTTCCTGCCTAGACTTCCCTGCAATGATGCCCTGTAACCTGGACCTGTGTGCTGGTGAGTTCTTTCTCCCCCAGATTGCTTTATTTCAGGGTATGTTATCACAGCAACAGAAATGAACCTAAATACAATCTACAGACTTCTGGAAAAAGGAAATGACAAAAAAAAATGCACACCCTCTTCTTCCAGTTCATGTGTGAAGGCAAAATGGATAAGCAGCTAATCCAGGACTGAGAAAACATACTCGCTGTGTGGCTCACCCATTGCTCCACATGCTTTCTTCTCTGCTTGTTTCCCACCTCCTTGAAGTGATGTGTGGGGGTGGGGCGAGGGGGGTGAGGGGGGTGAGGGTGGGGAAAGCTCTCTAGCAGATCAGAACCAGCACTTGTTAATCATGCTGTCCCCTACAATAGTGTGTGACATTTCAGGTGGCCACCGCTCTCTGATCAGAGTCCGGAGAGAGGACTCTCTGACGAAGAAAAGCCCAGAAGCCCAATGAAATATGGGAGTTGCTTATTCATGTTATTGACTCCATTCTGGCTGACAAATGAAAACAAATTATGATGTACAGTACAATGATAGCAGCAAGAAATCAGCTGGGCTTGGTACAAGGGCCTGTAGTCACAGTATCTTACAAGGCAAATCAGGAGGACCATCATGGGCTACATAGTGATTTCTTTTCTTTTTCATTTTACCTGGTATTAGTACTGTTACAGTATTAGCACATGTCAGAGGACAACTTTGTAGAGTTTGTTCTCTCTTTTCACTCTTTTATGGGTTCAAACTCAGGTTACCTGACTTGTCTAGTAAGCAAAGATGCCCACTGGGGCATCTTATCTTGTGGCATCAAGGCTAGACTGGGTTATTGTAGAAGGACTCTCTTATGTATTGTATGGACATAACACCTGTCAATTTAAAAAAAAAAAATCTATGTCCCTATGGCTGAGGCAGGAAATAGGTGGCACATCCAGCAGGCAGAAAGGATTCTGGGACAGAGCCAGGTGTATGAAATTCAGCCAGCAAGATGTGAGGTGGACAATATGCATGGTACCTGAACATAGGTAACCAGCCAAGTAGCAGAATGTAAATTAGTATAGAAGAGCCTAGCTATATAGCCTAGGTATTTGTGTGATATTTAATGAGTCTCATGAGTAGTTATTTCCAGGGAGCTATGACAGGAAGAAAAACACCACAGAAAAATACCACTACATGCTATAAAGCAAGACCCTGTCTCAAATAATTAAGAAAGAAATCACTACTAGCAAATCCCTACTACACACACACACACACACACACACACACACACACACACACACACAGTGGTAGGAGGGCTTGTGAGAAGTTCAGTGGATGAAAGTGCTTGTCCTCTACTGTAATGACCTGAGTTCAATCCTGGGACCCACAGAGTAGAAGGGAAAACCAACTCCTGCAAATCAGGGAGGAGGTGAGTAAAAATATGATACTTTTAAATCATATTTTATCATATCAACAAAAAAAGTAAAAAGGATCCAGGCAGGGTGGCACATGCTTTTAATCTCATCAGTCAGGGAGGTAGAGGCAGGTGGACCTCTGTGAGTTTGAGACCAGCCTGGTCTACACAGCCAGTTCAGGACAGCCAAGTCTACACAGCGACACCCTGTTTTCAAAAAAACCAAAAACCGAAACAAAACAAAAGTATAAAGATGCCATGCTGAGACCCATTATTTTGTACGCTAACCAAATAATCAATTAAAATATAAAATAAGTTAGGGTACTTCTTTGCCTTTTTCATACTTTAGAATTTTATCATTTTTTTGAAATTTTCATAAATACTGTTTCATACATGAATCACTGTAGTTACATGATTTCTCCTGCTCTCTTTTTTTTCTCAATTCCTCCCATGTCTTCCTTTCCCACTTCTCAAAACCATCTTTAATAATTGTTTTATAAATATATATATATACACACACAGATACATACATACATATATACATACAGGCAATCTGCTGACTTCATTTAGTGTTGCTCCTATGAACACATGTTTAGGGCTGACCACTAGAGACCAGATAACCTAACAGAGGATTTTTTTTTCTGGAGAATACTGCTTGATTTCCCCTTTCTTAGCAGCCATTAATTGCCTGGAGCTCTTCATCTAAGGGTGGAACCTTGTGAGATTCCCTCATCCACATCACCTGGTGCTGTCATTAAAGGTACATCTATTTTTTAATTTTTAATTTTATTTTTATTAATTACAGTTTATTCACTTTGTATCCCAGCTGTACCTCTTCCTCCATCCCCTCCGAATCTCACCCTCCCTCCTTCTTCTCCTATGCCTCTCCCCCAGTCCAATGATAGGGGAGTTCCTACTCCCCTTCCATCTGACCCTAGTCTATCAGGATTGGTTTCTTTGTCTTCCTCTGTGGACTGGTAAGGCTGCTCCCCCTCAGGGGGAGGTGATCAAAGAGCCTTCCCATAAGTTCATGTCAGAGACGGTCCCTGTTCCCTTTACTAGGGAACCTTTTTGGACACTGAGCTGCCATGGGCTACATCTGTGCAGGGGTTCTAGGTTATCTCCATGCATCTTCCTTGTTTGGAGTATCAATCCCAGAAAAGACCCCTGTGTCAAGATTTTTTAGTTCTGTTGCTCTCCTTGTGGAGCTCCTGTCCCCTCCAGGTCTTTCTATCTCCCCCTTCTTTCATAAGATTCCCTGCACTCTGCCCAAAGTTTGGCTATGAGTCTCAGGATATGTTTTGATATCCTACTGGGTAGAGTCTTTCAGAGGCCCTCTGTGGTGGGCTCCTGTCCTGTTTCCTGTTTTCCCCCTTTGCTCCTTCTTGATTAGCTTAAAGGTACATCTTTTTAAGCACGTGAATGCCAATACCTAAATGTTAGATAATTGAGAATGGTGGGACCCCTGACACTGCTCATGACTTTTTCAGATGTCACCAAAGACAAACTATTCTTAGAATAATCCTGAAATACCGTTTGCCCTTTATCTCTTTCCTCCTCCTAACAGTGTTCAGTCAGGTTCACAGATGTGCACGGGCTGCAGTATCACAGCAGACGGAACAGACAGGGGTCTGAGGGGGCCTGCTGACCTTGACTAAGCAGGAGAGCAAAGGCATTTGCAGGAAGGTAAAGCAAGATTAAATCTTCTCCTTTATTTTCATTAAAAAAAAAATATTTTCCATAAGAATGTATCACTTGTGATAGTGATGAAGTCATTGCCTCTACACTTAATGGATAAATATTCAAATATCTGAAACTGTAATTTATAATTAATGATAACTCACATTAGATTTAACCCAAAAAGCTAGCTTTTGGGGTTCTCCATAATTTTTAAGAAAAAAAAATGGGATGGTTTATGCACACCTTTAATCATGGCAAAACCTGATCTACAAGTGAATTTCAGGATAGTCAGGGCTACACAACAAACACAACGAATATCAAAGCTATCTGATTCCAAAAAACTTGAGAATTGTGTTTTAAAAAGAGCATATTATGTGTGTTCCATATGTAATAATATAACAAAACTATATAATAATTTTTAATAATTATTTCTATTTTATTAATTACAGTTTATTCACTTTGTATCCCCCCTGTACCTCCCTCCCTCCTCCCCTCCCAATCCCACCCTCCCTCTTCCCCACCCATGTCCCTCTCCCAGTCCACTGATAGGGGAGGTCCTCCTCCCTTTCCCTCTGATCCTATCAGGTCTCATCAGGAGTGGCTGCATTGTCTTCTTCTGTGGCCTGATAAAGCTGCTTCCCACTCAGGGGGAGGTGATCAAAGAGCAGGTCAATCAGTTCATGTCAGAGACAGCCCCTGTCCCCATTACTATGGAACCCACTTGGACACTGAACTGCCACAGGCTACCTCTGTGCAGGGGTTCCAGGCCATCTCCATGAGTGGTCCTTGGCTGGAGTATCAGTTTCAGAAAAGACCCTTGTGCCCAGAATTTTAGGATCTGTCACTGTACTTGTGGAGCTGCTGTCCTCTCCAGGTCTTACTATCTCCCACTTCTTTCCTAAGATTCCCTGCACTCTACTTAAGGAGGGTATGTATGTGTATGTGCCTGGGGGGAGGGGGTGGAGTCCAATTGCTCTCCACCTTATTTTTTGAGACAAGTCTCCCACTGAATTTGAATATCATTAATGCAGCCAGATTAGCTGGCCAGTGAGCTCTAAATACCCAACTGTCTCCCTACCCCTAATTCTGGAGTTAGAAAACACATACTACTGCTGGATAACTTCTTTGTGGGTTCTAGAGTCGGAAGTTAGCTCCTCATAAGATAATTCAAGTGAAAACTGGAGTTAGAGTTGAATTATTTCACAGAAGGTAAATTCAAACAGCACAGTTTCACATTTGATGCTAAGAACCAACTAGAGAAATACAGAAAATTGATTTAAAAAAAAAAACCCAAGGCGTCAAAACTAAACTACAAATGCCACAAAATAATGAGCAGTGAGGGGGGGAAAAAACCACACTGTTTAGCAGAAAGAAAGAGACATAAGATATGAAAGTTTCACCAAACATCATCCTCAAGAGGATCCCCAGAACCAATCCCCAGTGGGGTGCAGGGGGGAATATATATATATAGTCAAGAAAAAAAGTCATAAAATGCTTGACTAAAACCAAAAAGGCATAAAAAGAAAGGAACACCAACAAGAAAAACGATAAAATGAAACTACAAACATGGTAGGTATTGCTCATAATCAGTCTAGATTCAAATGGTTCAGTTGTGCCAGTTAAAAAACAGAGTCCGGGACATGAGAGCAGGGGAGATGCCTCCTGCCGACGGCAGCACTGGGTGCCCAGGGCAGTGCTGGACAGCTCGCATTGGCGGTGCAGATAAGGGAGCGCGGGTGGGCCGACCAGCTAGCTACTACCCAGACGCAGATCCAGGCCTTTGGGCTGCCCCCCCCCCAAATCTATACCATCTTCAAACAGTTGGGACTCATAGAAGGGCTGGTTCTACTGACCCAAAACTGCAGGAACTTCATGACACAGGGCAGCAACAGGATAATAGGGAGGAATCCTGATGAGGATCCAATATCGACAGCATCACAGAAGCCAGAGATCTCAAAACAGACCAATGACTCACTGCAATGAACATTTGCAAATGAAGATGTGTGGACAGAGGGATATACTGAGGGGACACACTGTGACATGCTAGCTTCCACAATGAGATATTTTCTATGCTTTGTTTTTGTTTTGTTTGTGAGTATGCATTATTTATTTTGCAGGGAAGGTTGCTAGGGCCAAGGACAGATATGAGAGGACAGGGAGATGAGCAGGACTGGGGTGCATGATGTGAACCTCACAAGGAATCAATAAATTTTTTAATGGCAAAAACAACAACAACAACAACAGTGTAACCACAACTAATGCTGTAAATAAAAGAGAGCTACGTTAGGGGCCCCTGAGATAGCTCCATAAAGAAGCACCCTGCCACCAAGTCTGTGTGAGGACCTGAGTTTAATCCCTAAGACCTACAGGATAGAAGGGGAGAACCAGTTCCTGAAAGTTGTCCTCTGACCTTAACACTGTGGCATTTGCACACATACAATAAATGAATGTAATTTAAAAAACAACAACAATGCGGGTAGTCAAGCAAAAGTTTGGCCCTTTCTCCCGCACCAAAAAAAAAAAAAAAAAAGCCACGAAGTTAAAAAAAAAAAATTAAATCTGAGACATAGGGAAACGTACAGCATTAAATGTATATGTCAGAAAATACGAGAGGCCTACACGAACAATCTTCTAAGGAATCAGAAAAATAAGATGAACAATTTCATCCCAACGAAAACAAAAAAATGCATTAATTTTAATTTTAAAAAAATGAAGCAGAAATCCATAAAATTAAAATAAGTAAATAGTCACACCAAAAAGCTACTTCTTTGGAAAGATCAATAAAGCTTTTAAATCTCTAGTCAGGCTAACAAAGTAGAGACAGGCACACACTATGAACTCTACGACACTGAAAGAATATCAAAGGCTAAGGCAGCCATCCCTATACCTGTAGACTGGATAACCACCGCAACAAAACATGACCAAACATCTTAAAAGACAGAAACTGCTAAAACTCATGCTCTGAGAGCCAGGTCAGGCCAGTAGTTAACCATCCATCCCACTCCCAACAGAGACAGCGGGCTGTCGGCATCGCTAGCGGATAAGACCAAATGCCACTGGAGAAATGATGCTTCCTTTGGATTTCTGCAGGACAGAAGTAGCCCCGGCTGGCCCTGTTAGAGGGCAGTGAGCTCCACACACTTCGGTCTTACCTTTTCTGTTTTTACTTTTAAATTATGTATACATGTGTCTGTCTCCGTGGTTTCCTGCATGTAAGTGCAGAGCCTGAGGAATGGAGGGAAGCGTGTCTGAACTCCTGGAGTAGGAGATAGTTGGAAGCCCCAGGATGGGTACTGGGGACCCTAGCCCATGCCCACCTCTAGAGCAACAGGAGCTCTTAACCACTGGGCCTTCTCTCCATTTGTGTATGTATGTGTGTGTAAGATAATTTCAATCCATTTCTAATCATCTATGTGTCCAGCACAGAATAAAGAAGGTTAAAAGCAACACCCACTCCCCACCTGCTCAAATTTTACTCCCTCCATTTGAGTGATCAGGCTCCTGAACGGGCCTATGCAGGACAAGTGGGCTCAGAGCAGAGCTATCCTCAACCACAGAATGGGAAAGGGTTGGCAATGGACAGAGTCAGGTTTGAACTTCTAAATGATCATTTTTGGACAGGCTTGTCTTGGACAGTGATGATTAGAGACAGAGATCAGAGATCAGAAGTCACAATGAACCAGCCACTCCTACAGAAATTCCCAGGAAGTCCACACAGTGCCAGGCCAGCTGTGTGACAGGAGCAAGAAAATGAAGTGGGTTGAGTCTGGGTGACCATAGGTCTCTGAGACAGCTAGCCTACTGCAGTGAAGACTGCTTTTCCTAGTTCTTAATTTTCATATGATCTTACTGTCTCAAATTCCTGTGGACCGTGCAGCCAGCCTGGGTAGCCCTAGTAACACATGTAAACACTGATCTTAGCAGAAACGAGGGACAAACTGAGGGGAAGGACTTACCTGTTGCCGAGTCCACTGTCTCCTCCTGCCATCCCCTACACAGGCTAAGGCGCCTTGAACTTGGCTCTGGGCAGGGTGAACCCTCTCTGAGCCTCTGGGAAACCCAGAGAGAACCTCTTCAGGAGAAAAAAAGAAAGTGAAACTTCTCGGCTCTGAGGTGTCTGCACTCACACCCAGTCGCAGTCTCTGTCCCAGAGGGGAACAGCAAAGACAGCCCAAGTCCCCAAAAACCTGGAACCCCTGCTGCCCTCCAAGGAAAGAAGGCAGAAGGGTCTGCCTCAGCTAACGACTCAGGGCTGTCCAAGGCCAGCTTGCTGCTTAGCATGGGAAGGGAGTGGCTCCTTTGTCCTTAGCTGGGGTGGTGCCTTGAAGGACAAGGGAGAGTAGGCTGTCTTCTGCAACCTCTCAGAACTCTGGCTGTCCTGGAACCCTAGTGGGCCAGGACTAGAGGACCTGGACATGGTATTTGAGCACCAGAGTAGGAGAAGTCAGAAGCTGTGGCCTCATAAAGTGCTTGGAGCTTGGGAAAGTAGCTAGAGGAGGCGACCTCCCCCAGCCCTGCCCACACACCTCCACCAAGCAAGGGCAAGTTCGGAGAATCCAGGGAGAGCAGGTTGCTTCGCTGTGCAACCAAGGGCTTCAGCAGTTTCACAGTGGTCTTGCGAACAAGAGACATCTTGTAGGGAGGGGAGGTGGGTGACACCTGAGGCTGTTCCTCATCAAGGGCAGCACAGTGCTGAAGGGTGTGTGCATTGCATTTATTCTCACACCTAACCCTCATGCTGTAAGTGAGAAAACTAGTTTGAAGTGGAAAGGTAAAGAAACAGGAGTAAAGATGCAAAACAAACAAACAAACAGAAGACTGGAAATGCAGGCAGAACAGAGTCAAAGACAAGGGGGATGGGTTGAGGGCCTGTGTGGAGTTCAAGGCTCAGACCTCTGCTAAAGAGGAACAAATTACTGAGATATAGCAACAGGTTTCAAGAGTACAGTGATGAGCACAATCACATGCCAGAAAGTGCATTTTACACATCTTCATTTACATGAAATTTTCACACCTGCCATATTTAGTTGTGTAACAGCCAATCTGTGGTTTTGGGGGCTGGTGTCCAGGAGGGGGTTTTCTGCCAAGAACAGGAGTATTTTAGGGGATGGGGGGGTGGGGGAGACTTGGCCTGTGTGTTCATTGAGGCATGATTTGGTAAAATTCACCAAAGCCATCACTTTAGATGAATGCATTTTACACATCTGTAAAACTGTATTAAAATGTATAATCTTAGTAGGCTCTCGCTTGGTGTGAATTACCAGGTGGGGTTTCTGGAGTATGTGAGGATAAGAATAAAATCTTTGCGTTATTCGTATCTGTCTGATCTAATAATTTTCCCTGCTCTAAAGGTTTCTCTGGGGAAGGTTATTTTTCTGGCACACACACACCCTGTGTTAACATAGACTTGCCTTCTTCCCGTTCTCCCTGGGTCCCCATCCCTGGGACAGTGTGGGCCAACCCTGAATGCTACTGATTGGTGCCTCTATAGAAGTACAGAAGGGCTCTCTCCTGTGTGGGCTAGCCTTGGTTCAAATTTAAAGCCCCAGAGGCCTCATAGGTGTCCTGGGAGGGGGTTCTTGTGGGTCATGAACATTCAGGAAATATTGGGCTTGGCTACACAGAACTCTCAGCTGAAGACTTCTCAGTACGAGAGCTTCCCAAACGAGTTTAGGCTCATTGGGGATCTTTAAAAGGGTGTGCAGGACCTGTTTGCTAGTCTTAGGGTGGAGTCATCTGGTTGCCTTTTATTTTATTTCAATTTTATCACTTATTTATCCTGACAAATACTAGGCATTTCAAACATGTGAGCTCTGGTTATTGTTTAGCTCTAAGATTTTGTTTGGTTTGGTTTGGTTTTTGAGACAGGGTTTCTCTGTGTAGCTTTGGCTGTCCTGGAACTCTCTCTGTAGATCAGGCTGGCTTCAAACTCACAAAGATCTACCTGGCTCTGCTGGGATTACAGGCGTATGCCACCACTGCCCGGCTAGCTCTTATTACTGTTTTCAATTTAAGGATTTTTAGCAAATTTATTCAGTGTAACCTTCACCACAATCCAGTTTGAGCACATACCATTCCTCCAAAACGGTTGGAATGAGGCCACTGGAGAGACAGAGACGGTTGAGAAGAGATGAGTGGAAGCCCCTTCCCATGTTCTTCAGTGCTGGTCCTTAGCCTCCCACCTGTGTCACTAAACTCCAGGCAGATGTGGCTGGATCCGAAGCAGCCTCTGCAACCCTAAAGGCTAACCCTGCTGGGGAGCCTCACCGGGACGGGCGGGGTGGAGCACAGAAGCTGCAGCGGCGAGCTGGGCTTCCTGCTCCATGTGCTGAGATCACTTTCAGTTTTGTTTTCTTCTCTGAAGCTCCTCGTCCAGGCGGCATCCAAGGCAGCAGGACTTCTAGTCCTGACCGGGCTGGCAGGCTTTTCCCCGGCAGGTTCCACAATCTCCTAAAGGTAATCTGCGCCGCTTTAGGGAACCCGGGAGACCGGTGGCTGCATTCTTCCTTCTTGGGAAACAGCTTTCATCTACTGAACCTTAGAACCCCTCCCCCACCACAGAGATTGCTGGGGTGGCGGGTGCCTAGGACCTACAGGGCATGGATAATGGGGATGGAGGCGAGTGCAGTGGACGCTGACAACTCTTTTTCCGAAAGTTAGAGGTTTTGGGGACAGTGTCCAGTGCATGTTCCCGAGGCTGGACCTTGAATATACCCGTGGTGAGCAGTGCCTGCATCATCTACCAGACACTTGGCTAATTATGAAGCTACTGGGAAAAGAGAACATAAAGAGACCCCTTACTTCTCTCTAGCATGTTATGGTCTTTTTGTTTTTTTGTTTGTTTTTGTCTTTTTTTTTTTTTTTAACTCATGGACATTTCCTTGAAATACGTTCCTTTCTGTGCATGAAAATTCAAGGGAATTCCTACTTTAGGGCTCCTGAAACGGATTTCCAAATGAACCACAGAATGCTTGAACTGGGTTTACATTTCTACTGAATCAGGGGTTGTGGCTATTGTCTTCTCTCTTGGTTATTTTGATAAGCACACGCACTGTCCTTTCCACTTTTCTCACGGCTTCCAACTTAATTATGTATTCATTTTACATGAGGCTCATTTTATTGATTGCTCATGTTTGGATGTCTTTCCTAATGGGTGTCTGCCTTTTCCCAATTTATTTGCAAGGCCCCTTCGCAAAATAAAAACCTGAATGCAGGCATCTGAGATACAGTGTTTGTTTGTTTGTTTGTTTGTTTCCCAAGACAGAGTTTAACTATGTCACTCTGGTATACAAAGTGAGTCCAGGACAGCCAGAGTGACATAGTTAAACTCTGCCTGCCTCTGCCCCCAGTGCTGGGATTAAAGGCTGGGCCAGTTCCTGGGGCATGAGATACAGTATTTTACACAGTGAGAAACAAACCACTGGAGTCAGACACAATCTAGTGTGAACTGGTTTCCTTGCTTCACCTTTCTTAGTCTGACTTTCCTTCTTCAGAAACTATGGCAGGTACAGATAAGAAAGCTGTCCCTATCTCACTCTGAGGGCTGCTATACAGTAAGGCATCCTGAGCAGAGCCCAGAGTATGGGTTCATGTTGGCCTACCCCCCACACACACACTCAGTGTCACCAGCTTTCTCCCCGACCCTATTCTCTCTTCATCAGGACTGAAGACTGTCCATGCACGCCTTCCTGTTTTACACTACTGCTGTGAATTCTTCCTCCTTCTCCTCTTCATCCTCCACCTCTTCTTCTTCCTTCTCTTTTCTTACTCTTCCTCTTCTTCCTCCTCTTCTTCCTTTTCCTCCTCTTCTTTCCTAAAGTTCCCCCCCCCCCATTGGAAATAAGAAAGGGACAGGACTTCTTAACTTGCCTCTGGGATTAAATTTCTGGAAATACTCACTAATTACTGTTAAATACTCTATAAACAGTAATACTAATTACTGTTAAATACTGTTAAGTACTCAACAAAAAAAAATGAGAGGGGAATCTTCTTTGTATATAAAACAGACAAACAAAAGCTTTAGTGTTAGCTGGGGATGTAGCTCAATGATAGGGCACTTGGCTAAGATGCACAGGTCCTGGGCTCAATTCCCAGTGGTGCCAACTAACAGTAAAAGCACCCTTAGATGATTGCACCATTTACTGGGGCTTTCCTTCCTCCAACAGTTTGTCACCAGGAGGTTTTCTTCCTGTTATAACCAACTGGTTAACCCCTCGTGGTCTGGAAGTGGTCAGTTTTCATGAACACCCACAGGAAGACACGGGTCTGTCCTGAAGAATGAAATGGGTCCCTAAACCCAAGTGGTCACTTTGACCAAGGCTATTTTTCACCTCCTTCCTGATTTTATTTATGTGTCGTCTGCTTGTGTCAAATGTTGTGAGTGATTTCTCGGTGCCTACATAGTACCAGGTTTCCAGCTCCCCATGTCTGGTGGTCTCGTTCTTGTGAGCATGGGCACTAGACGGGCTCAGCAGCAGCGTAGATGATCTGTTCTAACCCAGCTCGGTGTGGCCAAGCACTCACTCAGCTGTGAACCAGCAACCAGAAAGTTGGGATTTGATTCCTGCTCTGCCCCCTCCACATTGCATAATCTAGCACGAGGGTTGCTTACCGCACCTCTGTCTGCTGGAACGTTCCACAGTTGTGTGGTTGCGATGCCAGTGGCCATCGTGTAATACTTGTTGAACTCAAGTCACTATCTATGAAACCCTCAGAACAACAGCTGGACACAGGATGCACTCAGTGAATGACAGATATTTTCTTTTTCATTCGTTATTAATGACACTTTATTCACTTTGTATCCCCCCTGTGGTTCCCTCCCTCCTCCAGTCCCAATCCCTCCCTTCCTCCACCCTCTGCATGCATGCCCCTCCCCAAGTCCTCTGATAGGGGACGTCTTCTTTTCCTTCCTTCGGATCCTAGGCAATTAGATCACATCAGGAGTGGCTGCATTGTCTTCTTCTGTGGCCTGGTAATGCTGCTTCCCCCTCAGGGGGAGGTAATTAAAGAGCAGGCCAATCAGTTCATGTCAGAGACAGTCCCTGTTCCTATTACAATGGGAATTCAGTATTCCCACTTGGATACTGAACTGCCATGGGCTACATCTGTGCAGGGGTCTTAGGTTATCTCCATGCATAGCCCTTGGTTGAAGTATCAGTCTCAGGAAAGACCCCTGTGCTCAGATTTTTTGGTTCTGTTGCTCTCCTTGTGGAGTTCCTGTCCTCTCCAGATCTTACTGTTTCCCACTTCTTTCATAAGACTCCCTGCACTCTGCCCAAAGGTTGGAATGACAGATATTTTCAAAATCCACTTTATGATTTAAAATTCCTTTCAGGATGGTGGTATGCTGCTGTCTGTCCCTCTCAGGCTCTGTTGTTGCTGGATACTGCCTTTATTTCCTGTGTCCACAGATCTTTAAGCCCGACTTTGTTCTGTAGATGGCTCACTGATGCCTGAGGACCAGAATGTCTACCTTTGAGATCCCATTTCATGCAGAGAGCAGTTCCCCATGCTCCGGACAGCCTTTGCCTCTGTCTCCTCAGCCTACCTCTTTCCCTAGGATGTTCACTGTGACCAAGGCCCTGGAAGAGGCTCTTCTCCGGCACTTCATATACACAAAGCTAGACATTGCCTATGCCATCAACAAGCCGTTTCCTTTCTTTGAAGCTCTCCGAGACAACTCCTTCATCACTGAGAAAATGTACCAGGTGAGACCTGTGGACCTTCCACAAGGCGGCCAAATCCTCCCTAAGTACATTCCATTATTGAGATCTCTGACCACAGCCCACCTTCTAGAAAATGGAAGGCCCGTCTTGACCATGATCATTATTGCAGGAGGGAACCGTTGGGAGAAAGGGTCTCATGGCGCTTTATTGGTGACATGGTATATTGTAGGGGCTACCATAGCAAAGGACCACAAACTAGAAAGTTCAGTCTCTTGCAGTTCTGGAGGCCAGAAGGCCCAAATAAAGGTGTTGATGGATTGCCTTTTTCTAGAAGTTCAAAGATGGATCTCTTTCTTGGTTCTGTTTAGCTTCTGGTGACTGCTGGCAGCTTTTGGAGTTTTTGGACTAACAGTCCCTTGCAGTCTCTTTTCCATCTCCGCATAGTCTCCTCTCTTCTGTCTTTTCCCCTTCCTTCCTTTGGTAAGAACACTTGTGTTTAGAGACTGCTCTAATCACGGTAGTCTCGGCATCCTCAGTTCCATCTGCAAAGACCTTTTTCCAAGTAGGTTCACGCTCACAGGCTCCAAAAGTTCTATCTTGTTAGGCACGAAGGTACCACTCAGCCCATCACAGGGATTGTCCCAGTGTATAAGAATAGGTGGCTCCCTGGTCATGCTGCCATGTGGGTCCCAAAGATTGGGATTATCACTTGGGTTACCAAGCTTGTCAGCAGGCGCCTTTACCTGATGCGTCATCTTGCAGACTCCCCTGTTCGTTCCATGTAGGGCGGGCACTGGAGGACGTGGCCGTATGGACAAATGTAGTGCTTTCTCTACAGGGTTACTGTTGGTTGGTTTGTTTGTTAGTATTTGGAATTCCAGGTTCAGGAAAATCGCAGCAGCCTTTTCCAAGTCTTGACACAGCTCAAGCTCCTTCATCAGATCACAGCCCACAGGGCACTGCTCACAGGGCACCCACTCATCTCACGGAGACGCTCCTGTTTTCCTCACGACAAGCTATGCTTTCCCTTATGACCCTGTTCTCAGTTGCAACTGGCTATTTATTGACTTTCTTTTCAGGGATGGATGCCCTCCTCCTCCAGCTGGGCAGGCCCTCTACCTTGGCAGGGTCCCACCTGGGCAGGGCCCGCCTGTTCCGTTACCGTGTCTATCTGGTGATAGGCACCCAAGGACTAGCTAACAGGCCTCGCAGATACTCACTGGAAGGCTTTTGCAGTCAGTCCTCTTCTCCTGCTTCTTCTGCTTTGCAGATTTAACTCCATATTTTATACTAAATTTCCTCTTAAATTTAAAAAAAGATTTCTTAAATTGTGTTTTTTGTTTTATTTTGTTTTCTTTGATACGGGATTTCTCTGTGCAGCCCTGTCTGTCCTGGAACTCGCTTTGTAGACCAGGATGGCCTCAAATTAAAAAAAAAAAATACATTAGAGAGCAGACTGCTTGTCTCCTGAATGCTGGAATTAAAGGACTGTGCCACCAAGCCTGGCTTCCTCATTTTTAAATTACAGTCACTTATTTATTTGGAGTGGAGGAGTGCATGTTTCACGGTGCAGGTAGAGGTCAAAGGACAGCTTGGAGAACATATTCTCCCCTTCCTCCCTATGGATCCTGGGATCAAACTCATGTCGTCAGTCTTGACGGCCAACACCTTCACCCATTTTGCCATGCTCAGCAGCCTAAGAGTAGCGTTCTTACACTCTAGAGAGCCACAAATAGAGCTCTGAGCTCCATGAATACTCATTCAAACCAACCCTCTGCTCTGCCCTTTGAAGGAATCTCTGGAAGCCTGTCAAAATCTGGTCCCTCTGTCCAAAGTCGTGCACAAGGTTCTCACCAGTCTGGAGCAGACTTTCCACGCGTCACTGCTGCTGACCTTGTTCAGCCAGGTCAACCTACTCGAATACCCGAGCATGGTGGCGATCTTCAGAAGCTTCAGAAATGGTAACGTGGACTCCTTTTCTCCAGTGTTTAACATGTGTACTGTTGCTGCAGTAAGGGCCTGGGTTTGTTTCCAATGTGGAATGGGTGTTCCAGTGTGTGCTTTTCCTGTGTAAAGATGTAGACCACACACGCACAAAAGCAGCTGGAGGGCCAGCCCTTGCTGACTGTGACCTCAGTTTCCCCAAGGTGAATGTCTATAGGACACAAATGTTTTTGTTGCCACTACTCAATGAATTTTAGTGCAGATACAACTTTGTTTATGTGCTTGCAACAGAGTGTCCTGATGTAGCCCAGGCAGGCCTGAAATGGAATGATCCTGCCTCAGCCTTCTTTCCAAGCTCTGGCATTACAGACATGATCCATCATACCTAGGTTGAAAGTCTAAGGCACTGGACAAACTCTAGGAAACATTACGGTAACAGAAATGTCGGGGATCTAATGTGAAAGAAAGATAGGGAGCTCTAGAGAGGGAGGGAGAGAGAGAAGATGGGTTCAGTGTATATCTCTGTGACAGTGTGGCTGTTCCATACATTTTATATCATCTTGTATCATCTCGTGCGTCCTTTAAACAACCTGCTGACATCATTAGCTGTTCTTGACAGAAAAAGTAAAGGCCAGAGGCAACTGCCCCAGTCATTTGCTTTAGAACTGAGGACTCCCATATGGATTTTCCAATGCCAGAGCCCAAGACAGTAAGAGAGATAGCCAGCACAAATGTAGCTTGTAAGGCTAGATGAGAGATGGGAGGCTCACAGAGTTGGGGGAGACAGACACAGACATGGAAGGAGAGGGAGGAACGGTGAAACAGGAAGAGGCTGTCTGTTCCTCAGCTCTCTATCTCTGCCGAAAATTGCCAGAGATAATTAACTTATAATGAGAAGAAGGTTTTGGGGGATTCTTGCCTGTGACATAGTTTGAGCCTGGAGCAAGGCAGTGTGTCATAGCAGGAATGGGTGACAAGGTAAAATTGTTCTGTGTGTCCTGAAAATGGGGAAAAGGGAGTCTTGAATCCAATAATCCCCTTCGAGAGATGCCCCCAGTGACCTAACACCTCGACGCCCCACCTCTTCAAGCCATCCCCATCACCCTGTAGTGTCACCCCGGAAGCCTAAGTTTTGAGGGGACATCCAACATCTAAACTATAGCCAACTGAATAAGTAAAGGAAGACAGGGAGGTCAGCAGGTCTGAGTAGTTGAAGTGAGAGTGAAGAACCGGGCAATAAAGCTACTTGAGAGTGGAAAAAAGATAATCGGCAGATGGTCCACCCAGGCACACTGACGGAAGGAACCCCAGTCACACTGCCGCGTGACGTTGCCATTGGTGGGGTCCTATTGTGGACGCTGCACCATCAGAAGAGTCCTCCTTAGGGGAGAGACCGTTCCCTAACTAAGAGAGCAGCAGAGGGAAACCTTCACCTGTAAGCCTGGCAGCAGGGCCAGGAGAACATGGCCTTGGCTGGGCTCAAGGATCTCCCTGGCTGGACTGTTGTGTGGTTTGCTGAGGCTTTTCTTAGCATCCGTGACGCTGTCTGTTCACAGGTCAAGGTATCTTTACCTCAGAAGTAAATGACAAAGAACCGTATTGATAGAAACCATTCCCAATCTATCCAAAGAGACAGCATGCGGAAAGCCTCATGCGGTTGTGGGGGTGGGGAGGGAGATCATAGCGTGTTCACATTGATGTGGCCGGATCCTAAGGTGCAGTGGATCCTGCAGGAGCGAGCAGAAACCAGAAGATCAAGGTCCCAATACACACTTTCAAGAAAGTTTGGGTTTTTTTCGTTTGGTCCAGGGAGATAACTTTATTTATTAAAATAATAATAAAAACAAATAAATTATAAAGCAATAATAAAAATATAGGGACCTTTGTTAAAATTATACCTTTCACACAACTGACTAAGTTTTATGAAACCAAAATTATAGAAAATTGAATCCCTGGTTACAATGTATCCAATTTTATGTGTTAAAACCCATTTTTTGCTTAACTTTTTTCCCATTTAATTATTTACTTTTGTTGTCATTTTTTTTTCCAAAAACATTTCCACATATTTGGTTATATTCTCTCCGCTCCTTCAACTCCTCCTTTCAGATCCTCCCACACTGTTACCCCCCCAACACTTCATAGCCTGTCTCTCTTAAAAAACCCAAATCAAACCAAACAAACAAGAGACACGTGTGAACACAAGTAAAACTGAAAACAAACAGAAAACATGGAGTCTGTTTTGTGTTGGCCAACTGTTCTTGCTGTGTGGGCCCTGGGTATCAGTGTCACTCCACTGGAGAAAACGGATTTAATTAGGAATGGCTTCTTCGTTAGGAGGAAGCAGGCTGCTAGCAGAAGGCATGGCCCAGATTAAAGGTGGATCTTCCCACCTCAGAAGAGCTAGGTTCAGGGTGGGCCTTCCCACTTCAATTAAGGAAAATCTCTCACAGGTGTACCCAGCCACTTGAGTTTTAGTTAATTCCAGGTGTCGTCAAGGTGACAACTGAGAGTAACCGTCACAGTGGGCAAAGCAAAACATCATTAGGAGCCTTGTTGTTGTTGTTGTTGTTGTTGCTACAGTCATTTAGAAGATTCATTGTAGTAGGTTTTACTCCAGAGCTCATGGCCTAGTTCGTCTCAGATCCTTGGTCGCATTAAGTGTTGAGTGTGGGTCCCACTTCACAGAACAGTCCTCATACTCAGTCAGCAGGTGGTTGGCCACTCTCGTGTGTGCCACATTCTGTTGTGATATACTGCCACTCGACAGTGAGTATGTCAAGGAAGCGGGTCCCTATTGGAGTTCACAGCGCTCCTAGCTGGGGGAGACTGATGATAACCTTTCACCTCCGCTAGTGTGCAGAGAGCCTTCCATCACTAGGAATGCCAGTCAGCAGGGGTGAAGTTTCTAGTTGAGCAACAGTTTGATGCCATGAACATATGGTACCTCTAGCAATAGGGTTCTATCAGCAGGTTATCATAACCTGTCTAATAACACTGGCAATAGCCTGTAATGTGTGGGGACAGGGGAACCTCTGGTACCCCTTTGGCCAGTGACTCAAAAAGATGCAATCTATTCCTCAGACTTGATAACTCCATTTAAATTCTATGTATGTATGTATGTATATATATATATATATATATAATTTTTTAGGGCACTGCTACAGGAGCTGGTTTCTATCCGGTCAACCCATTTTTGGTGGTAGATTGGGGATTAGACGGCACCAAGTGTCCAAATGACATAAAAGTTGATAGGGACACTTGTGATGAACCTGTTCTCTGCACCAGGAGAAAATCAAGAACTCCTCTGGTCCTGTGGGGTGCGCTAGGCATCCTGTCTGCCAGATAACCTCTGAATCTCCAGGGTCCTGATGTGTGCTCCTTTGCTGATTCCAGTTGCTACTGCCTATGAAGGGAAGAACAGAACCACGCAGACCCTAATTGAAATCCCAGCTGACCCAGCAGAAGGGCGCCCCCCCATGGCTCTGCCTCCCCCGCCCCCACTCCAGCCATCTCCTCTGAGTCATCTGTGTTCTGCAACAAGAGCCTGTGAGCCCAGAGCCCCCTCCCAGCAACCCACTGAGATCCTGAAGGAGCAGCCCAGCCTTTCTCGCCCAGCTGTGCCTGTTCCTGGCTTTGTTCAGGAAGAAAAGAACACACCAGGTAAGAAACAGATCCTGCCCTCCAACTTGTAACCTTACCTAGGATGCTTGCTCCCTGTCAGTTAGAACTCCAGATTGCTGTCTTTTGTTGATTTACTCCTTCCTATGCACCGGCTTAGCTACCCATCCGCCTACCTACACACAACCCTGTCTAAGAAAATCACAAGCATTGCCGGTGGTCAGGGAGGTCCAGGTCTCAGAATACCTTCCTGCACCCCAACCTCTGTTTTTGGCCTTGGTGCTTCACCGTCCCTGAGCCTTTAGGCCAGTGGTTCGTTCACTCTCTCCCCTTATAGGCCTTATAGCCCCTTCTCCTTTAGCCGCCAGGAGCAATTTAACAGCTACAACTGATAAGGAGACTCGAAAAGGCTGCCCAGTCCTTCCCCTGGTACTGTGCAGACTAACCCTGATGGGGCTGCGGGGGGGGGAGACTGTGCACATGCTGAGGGAAAGGCTGTGCTTGGAACCTTGGGAGAAAGAAATGGGCTTGACAAGGGGAAGAGAAGCAGAGGGGCCCATTATAGACTCTGCGCAAAGGAAGCCAACCACCAAAATTTTGTGTGAGGCTGGGGTAGAGCTCAGTGGAAGATGACTTCCCTGCTAGGTGCCAGGCTTCTGGGTCAGTTCACAGTATATAGAGTCCTCCCTTCCCTCTCCCTCTCTTCCTCCCAGCTCCCACTCCCTGCTCCAAATTGACATCCAGCTTTTCGCATGCTTCCCGAGGAGGTGATTCTTCTGACTACGGAAGCCTTTGAGTCTCAGCCTTTTTTCATTCCTTTTTATTTCACAGTGTGTTAAGAGAACACAGGGCCCCTTGTATGCTGGACAAGTACTCTACCACTGAGCAACACCACCAACCCCTTTACCCTTAGATGAATTAGACTGTAAGACATGCGTATGTTATTAACATTATTAGAAAATGGAAAATTTTTCATGATCTATTGGACCTAATTGAGCGTCTAGATTTATGCCACTTGGCTTCCCCAAACCACTGTCATAATAAAGTTTAGTTATAATATAGCAGGATGTATTACCAAAGATACACATTACAGGTTCCTCGCTCTGCAGGACTGAGAACAAAGGAGCCCTGTTTGAGCTCGGCAACATTTCCTCCACTTCTCGGATACATGTCATTTAACATAATCAGAAAGCTCATGACAATAGAAGGTCTCATCATCTACATTAAAAAAAAGAAATCCTGTTATTTAACTAATGAGTTGCTAATTAGAAGTAACTGACTGTTTACTGTCCGCCCTTCACTACCTACCTTACCCTGGTCCCCTGACTTCCTTACCTGTTAGAATCACGTTTGTTCTTTACCACTCTGGCCCCTACCTGCTCATCCTGAAAGCCTCAGTTCTTTTTCTTCCCTTTACTCAGTGTCCTCCAGGGGTCACCAGAGAAAAGATAAGGAAGACTCTCAAGAGATGCCCCACAGTACCTCAGGCCCCGTGTCAGGTAATCTGCCTTTGGCCTTATCGTTCCTCCTTTTCTGGGCATTTACACCATCCATTCTCCTCTGCCAGCCAGACCGGTAACCCAAGATTTTCCTTCCTCCTGCAGTGATCAAAGACAACTTAATATCCAAGAGGAACAAGGAAGACCGCTCAGGGGCAAGTCCTCCCGGTTCCCCTGGCATTGTGGATGGTAAGGCTGGTTAAGGCTGACTTAACTCTTGGCAGTCTTGATTGGAATAGGTTAAACTCGCCTCTGCTTTCCTACCAAGAAGAAAGTCATTCAAAGGCATCCTCTTTGTCCCTGCTCTCACCGCCATCTCAACCCAGCTACCTGGGGCTCACCCAAGCTTGGAAGGTAGAGTTGTGGGAGAGTAAGGAGGCAAGACTGGGAAGGTAGATTTATAGAAACCACCAATCACAAAGTCCCCCCGAATACCTGCTAGACTTAGACTCTAAATGATTAAGGTGTCAACAGAGACGACTCCTCAGCCGTAGGGAAGTGTGGTGGGCGCCAGGAGGGAAGGGGGCAAGGCAGGGCTGGACTGGGTGCCCTCACTGCTGTGAAGTCATTGCAATAGGTAATGCTCAAAACGGCCCCAACAAAACGCAAGACAGGCAAACAGAAAGCCTGTGTGTCCCCCCGGTGGGTGATGCAGCTGGTGTGGCTGGCCCTCCTTCCTTGACCCTACCCTGACTGTGGGAACTGTGTCTCAATGCTAGTCAATTCTTCGTTGTGTGGAGCTCTAAGAATATATGTTATTAAAAATGATACGAAGAGAAAGAATTGACTTCAAAAGTCTGAAGACGGTTTGTAACGTGCCTCAGTTACCTGACCCTAAAGAAGCCAGAATTTAAGACAATTTTCATGGTGTTGTGTAAACAACAGACAATCTTAAGGAGATGAAACTTTTTTATCTGTTATGGTTTCCAGTCCCTCTGCTTTTCTTATTGCACCAAAGCTAGCAGAATTTCATAATGCATTTGCTATTAGCAGACAAATAGGTAATAATAACAGGGTGGTCAGGGAAGGAGAGGCAGTTCCGTGCCTAAGAATGTTCTTCCTAAGGCTGTTCTTCCAGAGGACCTGAGTTCAACTCCCAGCAACCACATGGTCACTCATAACCACCTGTAACTCCAGTCCCAAGGGCCCTCTTCTGGGCTTTGCATGAACCAGTCTTGCACGTGGTACCAAGACACGCATGCAGGCAAAACGCTCATACATGTAAAATTTTTACACTAATAACAAGGTGGTCAGATCAGGGCAGAACCAGTGGGCTGGCGGATCCCTGCCTTCACTCCCTACAGTTTGAGTTCCCAGACTGACTTCCCATCACACCTTCTGCTCAGTCCATTCTGAGCTCTGACTTGGTTTCTGTTTCTTTTGTTAGTGGGAAAAGACGACTCTCCAGCACCAAATGACCTGGAAATGCCCCCGGAAGCATCCAGACCTCCTACAAACAAGAAAGGTACAGACATCCTCTCCCCTGCAATGTTTCCTGTTCTTCCAGCTGTATCGCATCCTAGCTCCACAATGCAACCAGTGTCTGCAACCGCGGTGTTCCTGCGTTTTCTTTCCATTACACCTTCCTTGTCACAGGCCTTGTGAAAATTACCGGCAACGAGACATACTGAACCAAGCCTTCCTCTAAATCGCCAGTCTCCCATTCCACAGCTGCTTGGTGTGCCTGCTACCCTAGCTGCAGTTAGTCTGCCAGGAGGACACTGCTTCCTGTTAAGTCATGTCCAGGCAACATCAGTCATCCTTGACTTCCACCTCACAGTGGCAAACGGGATGAAGGGCCACCTGACCACCAACTTCCTAACCCGCCTTTCGCTCGCCCGTCTTTTCCTGTGAGGTGTCACCATTCAATTGAACATGTGTTCTTGGTCCGGCAAGATGGCTCATTGGCTAGAGATGCCTGCCACCAAACCTGATGGTCTGAATTTGATCCCTGACACCCACATGGTGGAGGGACAGAACCAACTCAAGCAAGTTGTTCCCTGACCTCTGCATGTGTGCATGGCCCATGTGTCCAACCTCCACATATCAATAAATGTAATCGTTATAATAATGATGATAATGACGACGACACTGTCATCCACCGCTTCCCAGAAGCCTCCTGAGCCTTTTTTCTCCCACTTCAGATCCTGCCGTGGTCCTGGATGCCTTCAAGGCATCATGGGTAGCAGACAGCCCGCCCAATACTCCAGCTGCTCAAGTCTTTATCTCCTCACATCTGATTTTTTTTTTCCTTCACAAATTCTTGGTTTCTCATGTCCAGAAACCATTCATAGGTCCTTCCATTATCCAAGCCTCATTTAACTCCCAAATAACTAATTCAAAGAATTCTTATTTTAACACTTGACCTTGAAATTTGTTTCTTCTAGTTCCACCTCTGATCTCTCCTTCCCAGCTGATCCTTTAAAAAGGTTAGGGGTGAGGTTGGAGAGATGGCTCAGGATTAACACACACACATGCATACACACAATTAATGATCAAAAATATAATTTATAAATAAAAAAGACTGACAGATCTATATGACTATAAAAGACTTTGTATTCTTTCTTTTCTTTTTTAATTCTAAACTGTATTCTTTCTTCGTAGCCAAAAAGAGAAAAAGAGGCATCTCTTCAAACTCCAAAAGAAGACAGCAGAAAAAAAGGGCCTCACAAGGTGAGACGAGGGCTGTAAGAGGCTGGAGCTCCTGCAGGCCATAGACCCAGAGGAGAAGGGACGGACATTGCTCGGAACCCAACGGGAAGGCACCCAGGGGCATTGGGCAGTGCAGTGGTCTGGTTTTAAATTCTGCCAGACCAGTTTTGCCTCTGAGGAAACAGTGAACTGGAGCATGCTGGAATCCTTCTGTTCTAATGGCAGGTGACAGTCTGAGGTGAAGGGTAGAGAGTGTCAGGGTTCCTCTTTATAGGCACACAAGGGTGACAACCATCCTTCGAAACTCAAGGGGAAGGATATAAAGCTTGCTGCTTTCACATAAAATACAAAAGAGCCCTGGGTCCTAGCCCTGAGGGGCAGTTCATAGGACAGGCCCGAGAAGAGCTCTGGAGAGGCATCCTCTTGCTCGTGGAGTGTGGCTGTCCTGTGGGCAGCAGCTCCCAAAGTCCCAGCAGCATAAAGTGCTGCTCCCTCTGCTCAGTGAAGCTTCCCAGTCTACAAGTCCTGACACTGCCTAAGTCTCTGGGCCCCAGCCACCCCCTCCAGTGACACTCCGGGGAGCTGCCATTCAAGGCAGACACTATGCCTGTCCATTCTGTGCTTCTGTACACGTTACCCACAAGAGGAGCCTGGCAGCCTTTGGATGTTGTCTGTCTGCACATGGGTGCTACATGGAAGACCCTCCTCCCTGCCTAAAGAATCCCAGGCCTGTGCCATTCTGCTCCCATAGGGTCAACTCGTGGTTCAGGAGTCTTAAAAACAGGAATGAGAAAGCGAGCTCCTCCCATTTTACCTACAACTCTTCCATATTTATCTGGTTATTTTTTTTTTCCATGACAGGATTTCTCTGTGTAGCTTTAACTGTCCTGTAACTAGCTCAGTAGTCCAGGCTGGCCTCAAACTCACACAGATCCTCCTGCCTCTGCCTCCCAAGAGCTGAGGTTAAGGGGCTACACGAGCACTGCCCAGATATCTGGTTAGTTCTTATAAGAGCTCCTGGGGTGAGAACATATAGTGATCTGGGGGAGAAAGCATGGTGCACATAAGAAAGAGCAATAAAGAAAAGTGAGGGGCAGGGGTACAGAGATCTGGAAGGGAGGGTGGAACGGGAGCCTGTGAAGGAAGGAAAAAGGCACTGAGGACCTCCACTTAAACCATTCATGAGCCTGTCTGGCCCAGGGGTGGCCTCACCTGGACATGAAGTCCAAGAGAAGCTCAAGGTGGTGCATCAGAGGACTCCGAGGAAGAATGACTCAACCGGGAGCTTGAAGATGGTGACCAGGTCTCAGAAGGCAAGGACTGGATGTGCCCAGACATCCAAATCACAAGGTAAAGCTGAGGGTAGGACCTGCCACTGGACAGGCTCAGCGTGGGAGGGTCTGTTAGAGCTGGCACAGGGGTGGGGAGATTCAGGACCTCAGGACCAGGAGAGGGAAGTTCAGAGAATGAGGGTGGGGTGTGAGAAGAGCAGCAGTGTCTGCCGCAGCTGAGGAGTTCTGTTACAGGACTGACACGCTCACAGCCGCAGGTCACCTCAGCTCAGACCTAAGGCAGACGGTCTCAACACTTCAGATTTTACAGCCTTAGGGACTGCTTCCTAAAGCCGATGTCTGTGTTGTTTGTGTCTCCCTCTTGGCATATTGTCTGTAATTAAAACGAGTAATTTTTAAATCTTTCTTTAAAGTGAAATAACTTGTTTTGGCCATGTAAGTGTATAAAAATGTACTTCTGAAGCACAGACAAAATCAGAAGATTGGTGTCAATCCATGTTCCTGTAGGTCTCGGTAATGTTGGGCTTCATCAGCCTGGCCTCGAATTCATCCACCTGCCTCTGCCCCCCAAGTCCTGCCTCCCCATCTGAGGGGAATCTTCCACTCATACAAGATTTTATAGTGCCTCAGACATTTGGAAAGTGTTGAACTGTCTAGTGAGAGAGTTCACAGGCACACACATGTTCATGGAACAACTGGGCAATTCTGGGATGTGACACAAGTATTTGGTATTTACTTCCCACTTTCTCACCCTTGTGAGAGGAGGTGACCTGGAGCCCCGCAGTCCTCAGCTCTGAAGTATGTAAGCCCATTCCAGGGTCAGGAGACCCCTCACGAAGCTGCCACATGCAGGAATAGTGTTTCTTTCTTCTTTTTTCTTCTAGAGCTCAACAATGAAGTTTCAAAAACAAACGATAGAAAGAGGCCTCAGAGGAGGTGCAGCATTCCACCGAGAACCACAGGAGGTGAGGATGGGGTGCTTTGGGTCTCAGAATGCAGCCAGCCAGCAGGAGCCCACAGTCAGAGCTGCACTCTCTAAGCCAGGCTCCACTGCCCTTTATTTTTCATGACCACTTCCCTAAGGAGCCCATCAGGTATTTATTCCCTCACCACAACCTTCCCATGAGAGCTAAAGAGTACTAATGTATACCCATGCACGGGCCCTTTGTGTGTGTGTGTGTGTGTGTGTGTGTGTGCTTTTTTTTATATTCAGGTTTTTTGTTTGTTTGTTTGTTTGTTTGTTTTAGTTTTTTTGAGACAGGTATCTCTATGTAACAGTCCTGGCTGTCCTGCAATTCACTCTGCAGACCAGGCTGGCTTTGAACTCACAGAACTCTGCCTGCCTCTACCTGCAGCGTGCACCACCAAGCGTGGCTTTTTTCAGGGTGGGTTGCTTTTTGGTTTCGGTTTGGTTTTGCCTTTTTTGGTTTTGTATTTATGTGTATGTGATGTGATCACCTTTTCCCCTCCTGAATGAATCAATGTCTGCCCCACTGGGGGCCAGTGTCACTACTGCTGAGAATCTGTCTGAGAGCACTGCTTGCTCTACACTGAAAATGTCCAGCTGTGAGTCAGGGTTGTTTCTAGAAATCCAGTCTCTGGAGAGACACCCCAGAGTGCAGAGCACTGGCTGCTCTTCCAGAGGACCCTGGTTCGATGCCCAGCACCCACATGGTGGCTCACAACCATCTTTAACTCCAGTTCTAGGGGATGCGATGACCTTTTCTGGCCTCCAGGGGCACCAAGCATGATCATGGTACACAGCTCTACATGCAAGCAAAACAAAACAAACCCACACATACAAACATAGCACTGTGCGTGGGCAGCCTGCTCCATTGTGAAAGGACTTGTGTGCCAAAAAGTGTGCGTGTGGAGGTGAGAGAATGACTTTTGTGGAGTCGTTCTCCCCTTGCACGTCTGTTTGGTCTCTGGGCATCAGAAGGGTTGCCAGATATGTGGCCCCATCACACATCTCTGGTGCACAAAAAAAAAAGTACTGCCCACGGTAAGAAATGAGCACCTACAGAAGTGTGGCTTCTTCTGTTTCTCCTCCGTGCCCTCCCCCATTTCCCCATCCTCTGTCCTTGTCTTTCTTTTCTTTTTTTTTATTTTATTCTTTTACTCAGAACCCAGGTCGTTCAAGTAACTCTTTTATGGTCCGTCCCTCCATGGCGTGCAGGCGCTCTAGCTCCCCGTAGCAGCCAGCATCTCACTGCTTTGCAAAGCCCTGTTCTTCAGGTTGGTTTTCCTTACTGCGCTATAACTGCCCTTTTATTAGATAGGCTGCAGACTAATCTGCTATGGAGGGCAGAGTGCTGTGTGCGTCCCACTTCTCCTGCTCCTCCTCCCTCCCCAGGGCCTCCTCCCTCATACACACCCAAAACAAATCCCATCTTCCTGTCCCGTCTCTGCTCCGCACCCACAAAAACCACCATAAATAAATATCACCTCCACAGGAAAATACCCTCTGTCCAGGGTCAGGGGCATAGATCCTCCAAATGTGACCTGCCCCAGGGAGCCCTGGCACTCTATGCCTCGTGGCTCTTCCAGAGTTTTGGTTAGTTGTCTGTGTGCCTCCTGTTTACTGTGTGAGTGGCGCTTGAGGTCACTGAGTCTTTCTTTCTGAATCAATCAGTCTTCTTTTCTGTCCTGTGTCCGGCTCAGGCTCCTTGGTGCCTCTGTTTATGATTAAACAACTAACAAATCAGAACACAAAGGAGGCTAAGGCCACATGAATGCTCGCATTGCGGCCTATGCTGCCCTCTGCTGGACCTTATGCAGAGGCCTTGGACAAGATAAGTAGTTATGTTGACAAAGCACTTTCCTGTCATCATCATGATGAAACTCAATGAAAAAGGTAAAAGATTCAAGTGAGCTAAAATCCACTTAGGTGCTTGTGGACGCTTTGGTCTTTACAGTTGAAAAAGCAAATAATCCCAGATGCTTCTTTAGTCTTTTCTACGCAACACTTGAGGAAGGAAGCAGGAACCCAGACCCATGCTGACCTTTGTCCCTCAGCTTAACTTCTACCCTGGGCTGCAACTTCTGGGTTGGGCCTAGGGTGCTTCTGCTATGAGGAGCACTCCTGAGCCATTTTGGCTCTTTAAAAATAATGCTTTTCCTTTAGAAATGTCCTACAAGCAGAGGGAGACAGATCTCTGTGAGTTTGAGGCCAACCTGGCGTATGTCGTAAGTTCCAGGACAGGCAGGGCTGCTACACAGAGGGACCCTGTCCCAAAAAGAAACAGAAAAAACCCAACAACAACACAAAAATAACACATGTACACGGCGTGCCTACCTCTTTCTTCCTACAGCTTCCCCTGACCTCCAGCCCCTCCCACCTTCACACCTCACTGAGTTCAACTAGTACGTATGTGGGGTCACCCACTAGAGCTTGGATGACAAAGGGCAAGCTCTGGCCCACCTGTCTCCCAGGGTCATGAGCCTCCGCCCATCTATTAAGTGGGTGAGCCTTGCCTTCTTTTTGTGAGGATGAATGATGCAATTCTTGATGTCCTCCATCTGTCTAGAGCGTCCCCAGCCACCCCACCTCCACCCTTCACCCTCACCCAGGCCCTTGGTTCACAGGTCACTCGGTGCTCTTGTCTTCGCTGGGTGGTTCACCTTCTCCTGTTTGACCATTACCTGTGTTCTGGAAGTATCCAGGAGCTGGTCCTTGGGTTGCTAATTAGGTTTTTTTTTTCCATCCCACTGCCCCGCTTCCCTATCAGGCTTCCTCCTTAGATGCTCTTCACTTCAGGAAATTGTTTCTTATCTTTAATTGCTTACTTGCAGGCTCCTGGTTGTTTGCTCACACTAATGAGGGTCTAAACCAGCTGCTACACCTCCCTTAGAATAGGGCTGGCTGATGCTGACACACAGGCTGTCCCTTAGGCTCCATCATTAAGGTCCTTTTGCTGAAACGGGCAAATGAGGCTAAGCCAAACTCAGTACAAATGAGAACTCACCGGAAGTCTGCCTTTAGTGTTAAGGTCCACGGCTTTACAAGTCCTCAGACCTAAAGGCCCACCACATTTGGGGTACAAGGGGTACCTGCAACAGGGGAAAGAGGGAGTGATGCTTGTGGCCTGACCCTCTGTTGTTAGCTTACCGCTTACAGCACCCCCAAGCCCCCACTGCCCCTTCATCTGTTGCAAGTATATTCAGGAGCAGCTGTCTTCTTTAGAGCTATGCTTTCCATAGGGAATTAGCAAAGATGTTTCCATGGAGATAGAGAGCTGTGGAAGATCCATCCCCACACTCTGCTAATGTGCCACCCTCCAGAGTTTTATAATGGTAATTCAGTGTTACCTGTAAACTCTGCTTCTCATTCAAAGGACCCAATAGCACCAAACTGGGTAACAGCAACTTCCGTGGTCCTTCCAGGAAACTGCAGAGCCAAGAGTCGGCCTCTGGCTCCAGATTCCCATCTACTTCCATACCTGAGAGGATCCTGGAGACAGGTGGTGGGGCAAGTCAGTGACACCCTTATCTACATGCTAGCCCGGATGCCAGCGTGGCTCCTAAGCTGGACATCCTTAGGGGCTCGTTGAAATAACCCCTCAGTTCCAGTGAGCCCCTCCTTCCACTGTGCAACACTCATGACTCCATCTTTCCAAAGTAATTAATGGTAATTAACATCTTCCCATCAACATTATTCTTTCCTTTTCCCAATAACTGTCTTTTGTTCATGTACATTTTTCTTTTACTCTTTTGATGTTAGAGGCAAGAGAGAGGTCCAACGTTGTTATCTTACATCAGCCTCTGACTCAACTCAGACATTTACAGCACTTTCCTCCATCCTCAAGAGACAGCCCTGCATGAACTCTCCCCAAGTGAGGTCGGAGGAGAAGAAAGCAGGAACTACCAACAGCTGTTTTAAACCTTTTCACAAATGTTCCTCTTGGTTCTTAACCTGAGGTCCCTGCTCGGAGGTTCTGGGTCACCAGATCTTTCCAGGTGCAATTTGCAGATCCCACCCTGCCTGACCCAGAGTTGTAACTCGTCAGCTGGCGATGACCGTGGCCATTATCTTTCGGTGCTGACCACTTCTCTGTCTGTTCTCACGCTTCCAGGAAAGTCCAGGGACGACACTGTGGATTTTCTTTCTCCTACACTGCCTGTGACCTGTGGTGAGGCCAAAGGGATATTCTTCAAGGAGAAACGGAAGCAAGGTGAGTGAGTGCCTGCTCTGCTGATGTCTGGTCCCTGGATGATGGCTGAGATGGAAGAGAAGAGAGTGCGGGGGACACACCCTGCTAACCAGGCTGCAGGGGAGAAACAAAAGCAACAAGAGCAAAAATGCTTCCCAAGGAGTTTGCAGACTTTTCCATAGGAGATGTGTCTGGAAGCCAAGAGTCATCTATGAGCACCGTGATGTGGACACTGTCCTTGCTACAAATAGAGTCACAGCCCTGCAGATTCTGTCCCCTCCCCCACTGTAGCCTGTAGGGATTACGGTCCCCTGAAGCTGAGGGAGGAACCCAGATTCCCCAGCTTCTGCTCCCACCCCTGAGGAATCACCTCTTGACCTGGGAAGGTAGAAAGCCATAATGGGGAGGGTTCATGGTGAGTTCACGGAGGATCCATGTGGGTCCTGGAATGGCCTGTCCTTTTCTTACAGGAGCCTCAGAGAAGTGCATTCAGAATGAGGCAGGTGCTTGGTTCACGCCAAAGGAATTTTTAATTGAAGGAAAGAAGGCCAAGTCAAAAGACTGGAAGAAGTCCATACTTTGCCAGGGGAAGACATTAAGATTCCTGGAGCAGGTATTATAACGACCAAAGGTGATGGGTTCAAATCCTGGAAGAGTGAGTAGAATATCAGTAGCAAAAACGTAGACAAATTCCTAGTGTGGCTCAACAGCATGGCTTACGAAAAGCCAGATGTACAAACAGAAAAAGGTGTAGTTGACAAGGTTAGAAACACAGATAGATGCACATGAGAGAGAGAGAGAGAGAGACACAAGTGGAATGGGCTGAGAATTTCAACGCAGAACAAGGTCTTTGTGATCGAGTGAGAAGCTTAGCCTGGTAAGGTTGAGGAGGTAGATTGGAAGGAAACTAGCTGCAGGCAAAGAATTCCCTGTGTCCCCAGTCTGACAAGCCTTTACCGAAGGCCCAGTTCCTGTGGACCCTTTGAGACGTGTCCAGCCACCTCAGCTGTGGCGGTCTCTCCTCCACGAAAGGGCCCTCTATGTGGTCCTCTCTTCCCAGCCTGTAACAGTTGCAGAAGGCGTGAGTTGTTGTGACTCCTGGACGTAGCCTTCCGGTGATCTGTGAACCATTATCACAGGGTGCCGCCCCACCTCTACGTCCTCCTGGGGCATCCAGGCTCGTTGCACACTGAGCTGGACTGGAGGGAAGCTTAGCCGGGGCGGGTGGTAGGATCTCCGTTGGCAGTGAGTGCTTGAGAAACAGCCTTCTTGGGAGACAGTTCATTTAATTGGGGAGTGGGTAGAGGCTTTCAGGGTGAGCATGCATCATTGGTTGGGGCCAGGATGCTGGGAAGGCCTTGTTTGCACAAAGAGGAATTCCAGTTGCTTGCTGGACGTGACCTTATAGAGGTGGGCTGAGTAAGGTTGTACGTACCAGGACATACAGGCCCAGAGGAAGGAGGGAGCAGTCCTACTCCTGCCCTTCTCAAAACAAGATTTTTGGAGTTTGGACATGACACAACCTTACTCTTGCTCTGTGCCAGCTCCCCTAATTGAATGTCTCCGAAGCCTCACAACAGGGTGGGGCCAGTGAAATGACACAGTGCGTTCTGTGCAAGCCTTACACACAACCTGAGTTTGATTCCCCCAAACCCAAGTAAATGTGGAAGGAGAGAACTGATTGCACGAAGTTGACCTCTGACCTCTGACATGTGCACTATGGCATATGCTCACCCCCATAATAATAAATAAAGTTTTGGGGTTTTTTTTTTTCCTAAATAAATGTCAGACATCACAGGGATGAACATGTAATGATTTTTACCTGGAGAGGAAGAATGAAAAGAGAAAGTGGAGGAGGGACTAAGAAAGGAGAGCTTGGGCCTTGGGTTTAAATAAAGAGGAAAATTACTCTATCACTAAGGGAAATTAAAAAAAAAAAAAAAGCAGTTAGGGGAAGCTCATTTCTCTCCCCACACTGTCGGTTTTATAGCTAGTCTGATAGCTAAGTATTTCCTAAAAAGGGGAAAAACATCGAAATCTACAAAAGCAGAGCTCCCAGAAAAATGTCACTTGTCAACCTCTTCTCTTTCAGAAAGGACTTTTTCTCTGAACCTCCAAGAGCAAACCTCAAGAAAAGGGTGACTCGTGGATGAACTATTGACTCATGCTCTGCCGCTGTCACAGGCTCTCGGTGTCTAAGCTTTACCTTTGAGCCCCTGAGTGTCCCAGCTCTGAGACCCGTCATGTTTGGGCAAGGTGACTTATCACAGCTAGCCTAGCACTGGGGTACATGCTCACAGTGATGCCTTTGTTCACAGCTGATTTGCAATGGAAAAAGTGTATGAATCCTGGAAAGTAAAGATAAAGCTTTTGTTGTCTATGTGCCTTAAAAAAGATGTTGCTATTAGGATGAGTACAAACTAAAGGTGTCAGGAGGAGAAGCCTTTAGTGAAAGAAGCAAACAGGACACCAAGAATTGCTCAATGGCTCACACTTATTGCCTGTGAGGAAGGTGGCCAAACCCAGCTTTGTCTGCAGAGACCCCCTTCCCCTCCAGGGCAAATGGCCACTACCTGTCAGCTCCACTAACTGTCAGCCTTCCTTGTGTCCTTGATGTACTCTCCAGGCTTGGTCCCACCTGTGAGCTTCTTTCAAATGAGAACTTCCAGGAGAGGTAATGCTGTGTCTCCTCCTAGGATACTGGCCTGGCCTTTGGCCAATTTCATTCAAAGTTTAAAACAAAGACTCCCCCTGTGTCAGTTATAACATAAACCATCCTTTTTTATGCTGTTCGGAAGACACTGGGATCAAGGATACTTAATGTGTGGTTGATATCCGATTCTATTGATATTATAAAATATGTTGATAGGCACTGGGTAAATTTTTAAAACAAATATGTATAAAATTCCACAGGCATTGCCATGGTATTAATGTTGAAACTGAATCTCTTTCATCAGTTAGTAGGAGAGTGTTGTTCTGGAACCCAGGTCCTGCCTCTTCTCTTTGGGGTATCCAGGCACCAATGTGGTGAGAACAAATGTTGGACTCAAAGGAACGAAGCTCAGCCAGACAGGTGGGTTAGCAGGATCTGGGTTTGGGGGTGAGTGCCTGGAAGGGAGAAAGCCTTCTCTAACACAGCTTTCAGTGATACGTTTTTTTCAGTGACATAGCTCTTCCAGTGATGTGGCTCTTGTTACTGGGGAGAATAAGGGTGCTATTATAAACCTTGGGGAAATGGGTCGGGGTTTTCAGGGCAAGTGTACACTGTTGGCTGAGGCTGAGGTGCTGGGAATGCTCCTTTTGCATGGAGAGGAATTCCGGGTGCTGGCTGGACATGTCCTTGTGGGGAAACCTGAAACCTGGTCACCAGGTTGCTGCATGCACCAACCAGGCCATGCAGGCTGAGAATGGGAAGAGAGGGATTCCTCTCCTTCCAGTCTCAAGATGAGATTTTTCAGCATTTGGACATGTCTCTACCTCTTGCTTGCTTGGACATGTCTCTACCTCACTCTTGCTCTAGACTGAGTCCCCAGGTCACACAGTTCATGTGCCCCATAGGAGAGAAGCTTAATCTATGTATGACAGTGTTTCTCAGCCTGTGGGTCATGACCCCTTTGTGGGTCAAATGACTGTTTGTCAGGGGTCGCCCAAAATCATCAGAAATATCAGATACTTACATCATGATTCATAACAGTGGCAAAATTACAGTTACAAAGTAGCAACAAAAATAATTTTATGGCTGGGTCACCGCAACATGAGAACCATATTAAAGGGTCGCAGCTTTCGGAAGGTTGAGAACCACTGACTCATGGTACTCAGAGGTGAGACTTTTAGGAGGTAACTGAGGATAATGAATTCTCATCCGTTAGGATTATGCCTGTACAAGAAGAAAGGGCAAAGCTAGGTTGGTGGCTCACGCCTGCATTCCCAGCATTTAGGGAGCTACAGCCGCTGACTTAGACCTTCATTAGTAAGTGTGAGCAAACAACTGGAAACCTGCAAAGAATCAATTAAAGAAAAAAGTGATTTGCTGACGTGAAGAGCATCCATGGAGGAAATGAAGAGGGAGTCTGATAGGGAAGAGGAGAGATGGAATGGGAAACAATTTAATTAGCAATTCAAAACCAGCTCCTGGATACTTCCAGAACACAGGAAGAGACACAGGTAATGGTCACACATGAGAAGGTGAACCACCCAGGGAAGATAGGAGCACTGAGTGACCTGTGGACCAAGGGCCTGAGTGAGGGTGAAGGGTGGAAGTGGGGTGGTTAGAGACATTCTAGACAGATCAAGAACACCAAGAGGTGCATCATTCATCCTCACAAAGAAGGCAAGGATCACCTGCTTAATAGATAGGTGGAGGCTCACACATGGGTGAGCCACAGTGAGAGTGTGTGAAGGAGCTTCATGATCCTACCCTCTCCTCTGCGTGCACACACACGCACACGCACACACACACAGGGGGGAAGGAACTCAAAGGCAACAAAGTAATCCCCCCTCCTCCCACCACCGCAGGTAAGGTCTGCCAGACAGGTTGTGCACTCCCCTTCAAAGATGGTCCTGCACACCCTGTTAAAGAGCCATAATGAGCCTGAAGTAGGGTCTCTGAGAAGTCTTCAGCTGAGAGTTCTGTATAACCATGTCTAATATTTCACAAGACCCCCCCCCAGGATATCCATGAGGTCTCAGGGGCTTTAAATTTGAACCAAAGCTAGCCCACACAGGAGAGCGCCCCCCTCTGGACTGCCTATGGATGCACCAACTGTAGTGTTCACAGTGAGCTACAGTCGGAGCAGCACACTTGGCCCGGACTGTCCCAGGGATGGGGGACCAAGGGAGAGAAGGGGAACAAGGCAAGTCCACGTTGATGCAGGATGTGTGTGTGCTGTGTGTGTGCTCACATGTGCGTGCATGCATATGTGCATGCAAGAGGCAGCATAATGCCTCAACACACCCTAATGCAACACTGTAAGACACAGAGGACAACATGCTAATGGGGAGGGGACTGTTTTATGAAAATGTTACATTGTCTTCTGAAGCTGCTCCACTAAATCTGGCACACGCTTCCTGGGCATCCTAAGAATACAGCAGCAAGGACTTCCTTTAGCCCTTTACATAACTGAATCAGAAAATCTCTCTCACACACACCCACACACACAAATCCTTTAGAGCAGGAAAAAATACTATATCAAACAGATGTGAATTGGTTGAAAATTTTTATTCTAACCCATACATATGTTATGCCAGGTTCACGGGACCCTCAGAGACCACCAGGAGATGACTCAATGCAATTGTAAGAGAACTTTATTACAAGAGCGATCAAACTCGGGACCCAAGTCTCACTGATGCAGCAGTAGAGAAGTGGGACCCCGAGCTCTGAGTGAATAGGATTTTTAAAGGGAAAGTCTGTGAGCAGGAGGTTTCCATGGCAGCAAGCAGGGCAGCACAAGTCTTGGCATTACAGAATTGGATGAAGTTTCAATATGGGATCTTTAGTTGGAACTCCTGTAGTGTCTGGGATAATACATCCCCACTCCTTGTGGTAAACAAGACCTGTAAAAGCTGCTAGCAATCGTCCCAGGTAGGTTGGTGGGTATAAAGGAGCAGGAGTTGGTTGAGGAGTGGGAGGAAGAGGAGGTGGAAAAATTATTTCCATGGGAGTTCTATCCTGCAAAACAGATTAAGGGGGGGGGGCAAGGGAGCCAGGGCAGTGGCCTCTGGTTTTGGAGAACCTGTGGAAGGAAGATTGTTAGTGGGGGTCAGAAAAGGCTTAATCTATGGAAGTAGATGAATAACTAGATCCTTCCAAACTACAATATAGGGCACTTTGTCTCGGTGCCCACATGCTTTCTGAAAGTCTCTATCTTCCACTGCTAAGACGGTGGGAAGGTGGAAGGTTTCTTCTGGTGGCCAACCCACATTGAAGGTGGGCTGCAGAAAGTCATCATTTTTCCTTTCCTCGCATCAACTAAAAGACCGTGAGCTCTAGTCTTACCTTCTCCAAAATGAGTCAGAACCAAGGCAAGAGGTTTGGAAGTAGTCCGTCCCATATCATCAGTCTATTCATCAAGGGAATTCATGAGAACACAAAAGAAGTAAGGAGAACAATTTCAACAAATAGTAAATCACTCATACACAAAAATGAACTGGCCGTCTCAGACAAAAACGAAAGTGAAGGCAACAACTCATAGCCTATACCTGGGCTAATATCTTTGGACAAAACTGAAATCACAGAAACAAAAACAGCCACAGTTTTGAACAAAAGTAGAATCAAGCACTCTCAAGTAGATGCAAAACCACAAACAATCACAGAAATTAAACAGTAACTCCAGGCATAACACCAAGAAAAAAAACAATTAATCACACACAGAAACCAAGTAAAACCAAAAACCTGGACTTCTCTGCCACAGAAGTTCCTGAAAACTGATCCTCACTCCAGTTCCCCTATCCCAGGAGTTCTTTTGAAGCCCCCACAGCCTAGGCCCCGACACGTCTGTCATACCTAATCTGGCTGTTCCCATAAGCACCTCGAGGCTTTTCAGGATAAGAAACAAAGAATAAAGGCAAACAAACATTTAAAGCAGACAGACAACATAGAAGACGTTTACCCGCGGGACTAAGCTCTCCAGGCTGGGAGTCCTAGAGGTCTTGAGGCATCCCAGACGAGCCCCCAAATGTTATGCCAGGTTCACAGGACCCTCAGAGACCACCAGGAGACAACTCGATGCAATAGCAAGACAGCTTTATTATGAGAGCGATCAAACTTGGGACCCAAGTCTCACTGACACAGCAGTGGAGAAGTGGAGCCCTGAGCTCTGAGTGAACAGGATTTTTAAAGGGAAAGTCTGTGAGCCGGGGGTTTCCATGGCAGCAAGCAGGGGGGCACAAGCCTTGGCATTACAGAATTGGGTGAAGTTTAGCAGGGTGGGGTGACCTTTTCTGAGGCACACAATCACAATGGCTAAGGCATATAATCACAATGGCTATTTTTCTAAACCATATCTGAAACACTGGGGAGAATTTTCCCACCCGATTCTCAACCGATTCCCATTGATTATTGCCTTGGAGTTTGTCTCTATTTTCTATGAAGCATTTATTCTGTTATATTTCCTGGAGGCTGTTGCTAGGAGAGTTAACTTTGTTTTCTGCCAGGTGTACATTCTGTGATATTTCCTGGTACCTGAATTCAGTTCCCAGTCAAAATCTTTATTTCAAAATGGAGTTATATTCTGGTAACTTACACTCTTCACATACTCAAGCATATAGTAATAATGGTAAAACCTCACCTGATATTTCACATTCAAATGATCTGTATGATAAGAGCCTATTAAAATTATACATTTCAGCACAGTTTTACAGATGTGTGAAATGCATTCAT